TGATCCTCTGACTATATACGAAGTTATAGGGACGTTTGTTGACACTATAAAGATTTATATGCTCAACAATGCAGCTCATTTTATTCTGATTATGTTGTTAAATCTGATGATTCTGGTCATTATAGACATTAGCGTAGGCCCTAATAGATACTTATGAAACAAATTTGCTTATCTAAATGGGTGGAGAATTATTGAATTTGTGAACAGATAAAGATCAAAGAGCTGTTTTGCTATAGGATGAGCATAGGCAGCAGAAACAGTCTTCTATAGTCAGTTTTTCAATTGGGGGTGTGAGTTTAGTTGTTAATTTTGATAATTTTGGCTTTGTTTTTGCTTTTAGACACGGAAGAAAAGGTAAAGAAGGAGAGGTTGAAAAAGATGAGGTTCCGTTGGAAAGGAAGCCGAATAGTTGGATGACTGCAATACACTTTAACTCTTCTTGCTCTTCTTCCGAAGTTGAATCTCAGTTAAAACTGTCTCTCATTGAAATTTGGCTGCTACAGAGAATTTTGACACCAAGTTTTTGATTGGTGAAAGGTGGGTTTGGTAAGTTTATAAGGGAACACTTTCAGTGAAAGAAAGTAGCTGTGAAGAGAAGTGATCCAAGTCAACGGCAAGGTCTACAGAATTCCAACGGAGGTTAATGGTGTTATCCAAAATCGCCATTCCCACCTCGTTTCCTTAATCGGGTACTGCGACGAAGAGAGAAATGCATACTGGTTTATGAGTTCATGGAGAAGGGGACTTTTAGAGATCATCTTTACAGTTGGAAAGAGAATCAAAGAAAACACATCAAGTATTGACTTGGAAGCATAGGCTTGAATTTGCATAGGTGCAGCTACAGGTCTTCATTATCTGCATACTGGGTTCCGACTGGAAATCATTCACCGAGATGTGAAGTCGACAACATCTTGCTCGACGAATATTATGTGGCCAAGTTCTGATTTCGCTCTCTCACAGTTCCGGTCATCGCCTGATACCAGACATTGCAGATGGGCTAATAGCCAGTCTTTGATATACTTGGATCTGAATATCCTGTTAACTTTCAGTTAACTGCTAAATTCTGATGTGTACTCCTTCGGAAGTATGCTGCTGAAGTTCTCTGTGCTCCGTCCCCCAATTATAAGCTCAAATATGAACTTGGCTAATGGGGTATGCTACCTGGGCTGAAACAAGGCAAACCTTAGAAAAGATCACTGGATCCTCCATGTGGCTGCCAAATTCACCCTAATTCGCTAAGAAAGTTCGGCGAAATATTTGAAAGTTGTTTGAAGAAGGGAAGCAGCAAAGCAGGCCTACAATGCTCGAATGTGCCGCTTGGGACTTGGAATGTACTGCAGCTACAACAAACTGCAGTTACACAGAGAACCTCAATGAAGACAGCACAAATGATTTTCATCCCATTATGGTTTTCCTTGATTCCTAATAGTTTTCCCTAATCAGGAAGACTTGCGGCTGTGATGAATGAGCTGGACCTCGAAGCTCGAATTCTCTTTTATCAATGGTTGAACAAGTGGCAATAATCTCGACACGTCAAAAATTGATACCATAGAACTGTTCTACTAGTGCTCTGCTTCTTTCCATTTAATGATCATTTGTTTAGTCGAGTGATCGTGTTAATCAAAGCTAGAAAATAGACTACTGTTTGAAGTTTGTAATTTTAATTACTGTTGTAGAATCTATTCTCGTATTTTTGTTTTTAGTAATTGTTTTTCACTATTAAGTGTTATTCATATAGTAAATTTAGATTAAAAGTATTTGTTACAACTTAATGTGTAAAAATAATTATTATTGTTAGCGCTAAAGTATAATACCAATACGTTAGAGTAAAGCTGTGTTCGAAAAACAGCTTTTAAGTATTTCTTTAGCGTTTTTAACCGGTCAAAACTACTAATCTGTGTATTTTTAGTGTTTTCTATGAAAAGCTTAAACAACGTAAAGCTAAACGCTACTTAAAAAGCTAATTGTTATAAATCAACTAATGTTTGCAAATCAAATACAAAAGCTAAACGTTAGAAGTGTGTAACCTTATAAAAGACTAAACCTTCAGAAATTATGTAATATTATATAAAGCTTTTTTTCAACCGACATTAATAAACAAGCTTTCAACCTCTAAAAGATCTTCATTGATGTTATAAAGGTCATTCAACGTATGTTGATGCGTGTTGGGCTTAACATTTAGAATAGCGTTAATGTTTGAATTCCATCAAAACACTATATTTTTTTTTAAAATTATTTTGTGTTCGGTTCAATGATATAATACGTAAGTTTCAGAGTTTAATAGGAAGTATTTCCTAAACGTTATTTTTAACTGACGTTTAGGGTTTCAATCTTTTTTTACTATTTTTTTTTTACATATCTTATCCTTATTCTTAATAATATAAAATCTTTTTATTATTAATAGTGTTTATTATCTTTAAGTTTGACTTATTTATATTTGATAGTAAAAAAAAAAATATATTATTATTTTTTTTTTTGCATTAAACTCACAAATATGAAAATTAATAAATGTTGAATCCCTACAATATAAAGATTTCATTTTCTATACTATATATAAAGTGGGAATCAAGAAGGGAAGAAATTGGAGATTATTTATACTAAAACCTCGTGAAAAACCTTTAGAAATTCCTAAAATAGCTTTAATCATACGTTAATTTCGAAAATTAACATTTTTTAATGCAACGAAGGTTTGAATAAGTGGTTCAGCGCTCTTTTCTTTTGGTAAGGTCCCGAGGGTTTGATTCTCATGGATGAAGCAAGACACTCATTGTGAGCCACTTTACCTCGACCCAATACAAGCAGATTTAGTTTAAGCCCAGTGGCTCGGAATACTGTGGTCTAAAACAAAAAAAAAAATGAAAAGAAAATTTAACAAAATTTATTATTTGATTGTAAATTTCTAAAATTATTTTTTAAATATAAACATGTAGATAATAAAAAAAGAAAAGTATACTCTTCTTAAAATTGAGGGTTTATTTGGGAGCATATAACATTTATTTATGTAATCTTTTTTTTTATAATTAAAATAACTTATTTATATTTATTTATTTATTTATTTAAATTTGCAACTAAATAATAGATAAACAAAATTAGATCAATAGCATTATTGTTTTTGCAATTTTTCATTTATCGAGCTTGGCATAAACTTTTTTTGGGTTTATAACATCATAATTCATTAAATTACAACATTTGTTAATTAAAGAAGGGTTGATTTTGAAATTCAAATGGTGAGTTTTTTAATATATTTGTTTTGCTTATAATGTTTGAATTCCAAAACAGAGTTCTATTCTTAATAAAAAAATTTATATCTTCCTGCAATAAAATAGATGACCTCTTGATAATTAATCATTTTTAATTTTCTTAAACTATTTTCTATCTATTTTAAAATCTATTTGACTCGAAAGAATAAATAATGTATAATAAGGACTGGAAAAAAAAAATAGAACAATAACATTTCTGTTTGGATCACTTTTTGCATATTTTAAAAAATTTGTGTATACGTGCATATATTCTTTCTTTAATACACTGAGTGAGTAAATTGTCATTATAGAAAAATTTAATTGACCATTATCAATTTAAGATCATCTGCTCATTTTTTTTTCTCTTTACCAGCAGGTAAAAAATATTTCTTTATTAATTTTTTCTAATATCTGTAACGTAAATATTGAATTATGGAGTTAAGAGCGAACAAAGTTGGAGATAAAGTGATCACTAATTTTCAATGTCCGTTTTTGTCATTTGTAAATTTATGGTTCCATCAAATCCTTGTTTCATCAAACACCTTCGCTCTAACCATTATTTAAACAATTAACAGCCTTACCTGCTAACATCTTCCAGCTAACTAAAACACCTACAACTAATTAAAACAGCTAACAGCTACTAAAACAGCTAGTCCGAACAAACACTAAAAATGCACAATTTAAATTAATAGAAGATAGTCTCAAAGCTGCTTCAGAAACGAACCGTAAGAATCAAAGAGCTAATAACGCAAGGCTCAATTTGCTGGGAAATGGGACCTGCAAATAGTTCTAACTGGAGAAAAGAAAGTTGTTTTCATTTTTCTAGGAAACCAACTCCTGGCTGAAGGTCGAGTTGGGTTAAAAGGTTTCTTTGCAAAATTGTCAATCAGAAGCCATACAGATTAAAAAATTCACGCATGTAAAAATCATGAATTGTGAAGCAAAAGATGAATGACTTTAATGTCCTTCATACAACTTTTGAAATATTCATATTCCTAATAAATGTTCTGAACTCGGTAGAAATTTAGCAGCAGCTAATCCATTATCAATTTTTAACTATAAAACTGTAAAATGTTTTCAAATCACATTATTTTGACTTTTGGTTTTGTATAATTGACATCAATCACATATTCAATAATTTTATCAAAATAAACATGTACATATCAAAGAAAAATCTGAAACATCCAAAGGTAACTACACCCTGATTCTGCTGATTTTTTTTTTTTTTTTAGTATACAAATTGATAGTTGTAAGCTATGTTACATGTACCACTTCTATCGTCCGTTTATCACTTCTAACAAACGTCAAACTTCAATCAAATTATTGGCACTAAATGTTTTACAACACAAGAAATAACCATACATCTCTACAAGACATACCTGATTTTACAGCTGCAGTGTGGACCTATAACTATAGCCATTACCTTACTGCACCAGAATGGTCAAGCCAGACGGCTTCAGAAGACCCGAATACTCGGGAGCATTATGGTTTATCATGAAAACTAAAAGAATTAGGTGCGTCACGGAGTCAACATCCGGAAGAACTTTCCAGAGAGGTAATCTACTGCTCTCATTCCCGTGGACGGGCCAACCAGAGAGAACTAAGGGCTCGCAGCCTGGAGAAAGAGAGGCTCGCAGCCTGGAGAAATAATCGTTTATTGCCAGAAGAGCACGAGCAGACTGCCTGGTTGTCAATATACGATGCATTTGTTCAAGAGTCTGCTGTCTCAGATTATCAGCCTGATAATTGTCAAAGGATAAAAATTATAGTAACAATAAGCAACTGAACTGCAAGCCAACAAAGCAATAGAAGCAGGAAAGATGACTGATGATCAGGATGATAAAATATACATGGGCTGCAATCATTCAGTTTATCAAACAGAATTCTGTATACTAAAGATTAGTACGCTCCAGCAAATTCACCCTTGTTTTACAGTCAATTCTTGAAACTCAAAATCCCCAAAGTTCAAAGATTACATAAATGAATATTTGAACTTATGAGGAGAGAAATATAAAAATTAAACTAATCTAGTGGATTTGAAAATTTACCTTCTCCACAGTTATCTAAAACTGAAAACAATTTTCTGTCCACATTCTTAATTCTAAACCCCCCTTCATGAGTTTAATCAGCCATAAAAACCCATGCACTGTAACCCTCATTAAACTTAAACGAAAGAAGATCGGTTTCAAATTCCTCCAACAAAAAGCCCACCATCCAAACCTGAATTTCACATAATTGAGTTGTTCTCTTTCACATTATTGAGGTTGTTTCTCATCCTCATTAGTCCAATCCACTGACTTCCAAAAATAGGTTTTTTTAACAAGGAATTTGGTACAGTCGTTTCGATTCAAGTCTTTTTTTTTTTTCTTTTTTTTTTCTTTTTTTTCTTTTTTTTTTTTTTTTAAAAGAATGAAATAGTTGTCGGTGACTTCAATTTTCAAGCCCCTAGAGTTATGGGTTATTTCCAACACCACACTAATAAATCCTCAGAGCGAGACAAACACTATCCATGCATAAAAATATTATATACAGAAAACACCAAAATCAAGACTTTATCCACAAATCATGGTATACGACCTAGGCAAAATCTAAACCAATTTCAAAATATCAAAAGACCTCAACATATCATATGGTCATAATATAACATGAATGGAAAAACATGGGGAAAAAAGGGAAAAAATAACTCATGCTTGATAAAAATTGAAGGGTGCCAACCAATTTTGCCAGAAAAGAAAAAGGGTTTAGTAATCATATTTCTCAAGTTCTTTTGTCCCTCTTTCTGCAGAAGGGGAATATTTCTCAAGTTCTTTTGTCCCTCTTTCTGCAGAAGGGGAGAGGGTTCATTTCTACTTATTCACTGTTTTGAATTTTTTCTTTCTTCGTCTTTTTTCTCTCTTAATTCTTGTAAACCAAGCATTTATTTCCACATTCACTCCTAACAGAAGTTACAAGTGTTGAATAAAAGAAACTAAAGCACAGTATCCTCAAGAGTTATGACTTAACTTCAAAATCTACAGGATATTGATTTGTACGTGCATACTAGACTAATAAAATGAAATCCTAAATGGGATTAGAATAAGAAAATTAATATAATCAATCATTTTGCTCAGCCCAGAACACTGGAAAAGCTAATTTGAAATTTCAAGGATCCACACACACACTTGACCAAGATTTCTGGTAACCCTCAATGGCGAACATAGAGAAAGAAAAACATGACTAACTCTAGAAGAAAAATACCTGGCGAAGGAACCCCTCTAGTGTTCCTAGCTTTCCCATGGCCATGGCCATCTGACCCATATAGTTTGCTACATTGCCAGAAGAACCTGACGAACCAGGGGTGCCACTGGCCAATGTCTCAGCCAGGGATTGCTGCAGTGCTTCCATTCCTTGTGACAAAGCATCTTCTGCCTGTTGGGATGATTGTTGCAAGTTGTAGATGCCCATCAACTGTTGCTCAGTTAGAGGCTCCAGTTGATTCACAAGAAGCTAAACCAATTTCAGAAATTCCAGTTCAGTTCAGAAACAGAAAATGAAATGCGTTCTTTTAATCCAAAAGGACGGAGAGAGAAGGCAAATAACAATTAGGAAACTATAAGAAGTTAATTCAACAGAGAAGTTGGATGAAGGTCAACTATTAAATACTTCAGCAATCACAAAATTCTGAACCACTGGTTTGTGCAGTGGGCATTACAATGTTTAGGCAGTGGGCATTACAATGTTTAGATGAATGCAGAAAATATTTGTTTCAGCGTTTTTCCTAATCTAAAAAAATGGTAAATCAACATTCCAGAACTAAATCAGGAAAATAGAAAATCCAAGGCTTGCTTATGATAACAAAAGTATTTTTGGATGTCTACCTATATTCTTATCCCTGTTGGCTAGAGTTTGAAACTGGATCCCCAAGGTTTTTCATGCAAAAGCCAGAATGTTAAGGGAAAAAATATAACCCGACTAGCAAGAGGGTAGAAAAAGTAAGCATAATATATCCTTTTACCAGAACCAATTCCCTGCACACAACACACACACACACACGATTGACACACCCAAAAAAAAAAAAAAAAAAAACCCAACACTGGTAACATTAAGCAAACAAAAACACAGTGGTATTAAGTGAAGGTGCAAGTGTGCAACTCACCAGCTCCTCCTCAGACATGATGCAGACATATTATATGGCCCACCACAAAGAAAAATAATATTTCTCACACAATAATGTGGCAATCCGCATAATCTCGTGGTATTAAGTCGTAATGGGATGTTCATTCTTCCATTCGAGTTTCAATTAACATCCTAGCTAACAAGCATATGAAAAGAGAAAATATTTTCTACTCTACCCTACACTTTTGTTCTTCAACGATACTCCTAGACCAAAAAAATCAATGTTCCAAAAGGAGTCCAATTTGAATCAACCAGGTTCAGAATTTAGATAAATGAACTCTAATGCAGAAGATGCTAATTCTAGTGCCATAAAATGCACGTTATCACCACTCAGATTCAAAAAATGTCAACAAGAAAACACAGCAATTGCAGAAGATGCTAATTCTAGTGCCATAAAATGCACGTTATCACCACTCAGATTCAAAAAATGTCAACAAGAAAACACAGCAATATGAATCAGGCTGCTGGAAGGTAGAATTTCTTTATGATAAAATTAAAATAGAAGCATAGAGGAAACACTATGAAAAAACTCACCTTCAGGAGTTCAGATGAGCGGAAGCCACCAATCCACATGAAACAACGCTCGGCTGGTGTCTTCCACATACCTGACAATATGTGGAAAACATCAGCTTTCGCTGCAGTGCCCTTCAGCCTGAAAATTTCATTGAAGTGTGCTATGACATTGTCAACAATCGTACGAAGTTCAGTGTCTCCTGCATGTGAATTGACTGCAGTTCTCAGTTCATTTATCTGCCGGTTGTGCTCTTCTAGCCACCGTGCATATTCTACGTCAAATGCCAAGGCACCTGTACAATAATGCAAGGACAAAAGAACATTTCATAATTAAGGATTTATAATGTAATAATATAGCATTACTAGCATCCAGCAATCAAGAGTCAAGAAAAAACACAGAAACAGAAAGAAACATAAAGATGGTAGAGGGAAATCAGAAATAAAGCTCAAACAAAAACATCAATCATATAAAAGTTGCTCAAGAATCAAACGAAATGCTATGATTTGTAGAATTCCTGGATGCCATACACTCGACAACAAAAAGAGAGTGAACTCATATTCACCAGACTATCATTATCATGATAAATTTCACATCTATAAAAAAATTATAAAAAAAAAGGACTAAAATGAGATGAAGTACCATTTCCACTCATGGAATGGGATTGATCTCCTGAGCTCGAAATAAAAATGCCCTACATTCGATAAAGCTGATTAAAAAGCATCAAACATGACACGTAATTCTATCCAACAGAAAATGGAAAACAAAGTAACTAATAATCTGCGTCATAAAAGCAATAGGCAAACCTGTTGGCGGGCTCTTTGAAGCTCTTGCTCTAGTTGGGTTAGCTTCAGCCTACTGCTCTCCAATTGTTGCACATATGCCTTTAAAGGGACCCAGTCAGAAAAGGAGTTACAGTACAAGTATATTAGATCATGAAAATATACTCATCTGTACTTTTAACAACAATTTGTACAGTCAGAAATCTGCAAAAGAGATGCAACTAAAATCACATAAGACCCTACTTTTTTCCTTAACCGGCTTTTTCTAGCAGCTTCACGATTTTGAGCAAGTCTGCGCAATGTCTGCAAATAATAATGATAAAGAACATATTTCTTAAAAGTAATGGATAAAAATAATCATGTAAGCAGTGGCTTTATGAACAAAATAAGTTTGAAGTATTTAACCTTTTGATCCCCAGCCTTTTCCTTTGATTTGTCACTGGAATCAGATGCCACAACCGCAGTTGATTGTCCTCTTTCAAACTGCACATGGAATAATTAAATCATAACACATCACTTATCAACAGTTTGACTTCTACAGGAAAAGAAAATATCTTTATGAGAAGAAAGAGTTGCATTCAGTTGAAAGCAAAATTCAATTTTCAATATCTAGAGAGAGAGAGAGAGAGAGAGAGAGAGAGAGAGAGAGAGAGCATAAATCAATGAATATTTTCCACCAATGAAGCATATTCTGAATGATGAACAAAGAGACTTCACCCTTTGATGTTTCTCATCTGTGTCATCGGTTGAGGTATCAGTTCTAGGACTGCCATCTGCCACATTGGTCTCTCCCCAATTCTCACGGTGGCTGCCAAGCATAGCTACTGAACTTGATTGTGGTTCTTTCTGTATTGGTACCGTTTGGCTACCCATAACAGCAGCAGACAGATTTATATCTGAGGATGCAAGTGACTGAATCTCCAAGAGGAATTTAGAGAGAGAGAATTGTTAAGTAACTTGAAATTCATAAATATAAAAATGCACAACTGTTGAGAAAGATAAAGATTTACCTTACTCAAAATGCCAAATTGGACATCAGCACCTATAGCCTGGTTGCTTGATTTTAATTGATTAAATATAGGATCTGAAAGACAATAATTACGAAATTGAGAAGGATGGATCAGAATGACAGAATCTAGTGCTCGCTGAAGAATATTATCCAAACAACTTGTTTGACCAAGAAGAAAAAAATAAGAGCTCGCTGAAGAATATTATCCAAACAACTTGTTTGAGCTCGCTGAAGAATATTATCCAAACAACTTGTTTGACCAAGAAGAAAAAAATAAGAGCTCGCTGAAGAATATTATCCAAACAACTTGTTTGACCAAGAAGAAAAAAATAAGAAGATTTGAAACAAAATCACATAACAGTCAAAGCAACATAAAGATAGGTAGACTAACTAACATGCAAGTTGGAATTATTGGGTCTGAATGACTCGTCACAACCACATGCAAGTATGTGATAATGATGGTCATGATTTGTTTACAAGAATACAAATGAACATCAAACGTGTGAAAATTGTTGCACAGAAAATGAGTCCACGCTGATTGAACTATCATGGGAGTTACAACACATTGTATTCATAATCTAAACTCAAGAAATAAAGGGGATGAACTCTACTATGCTGCAAATGATTGTTTAACATGCTAAGTTTCTCTATGCTTCAAAAGGAACCAAAGCTCATGAACAAAATTAAAGTTGAACAATAAGCTCCACGAGAAAGGAGAAAGGAGGAAGAGGAGGAGAGGGGGGGGGGAGGGGGGGGGGGGGGGCGGGGGGGGGGGGGGGGGGGAACTACAATACTTCTGCTCATAATCAAGCATCTTTATGGCGAAATCCAAGGGATTTGTTTCAGTGTCCCCAATCCGAAATCGAGTGAACGAATATTTATTTCCTTCTGTGGGGGGGGGGGGGGGGGAACTACATACTTCTGCTCATATCAACAGCATCTTCTATGCGAAATCCAAGGGATTGTTCAAGTGTCCCAAAATCCGAAATTCGAGATGAACGAATATTATTTCCTTCTGTGCCCCTGAAAACCATATGATAATAGAAGTATCAGCACTAATATTGACAATTTAAAAGGGAAACATAGCTTAACACTAGAACTTGAACCTCATATTAACCAGAACCTCTGACAGAACCTTCAAAACACTACAAAGTTCAAACTTCAATGTAAATTCTTAAGGATATAACTTGTCAACCTGATATCCTAATTGACTAAAGGTGGAACTCACAAATTGCAAAAAATACAAGATGAAGGAAATAAATTGATACAAAAAAAAGGTAGTGAAATGGGAATCACCAAAAGATGCTTTACCTATCAATCACATCCCTACCACCACCCCCAAAAAAAATTGAGAGAGAGAGAGAGAGAGAGAGAGAGAGAGAGAGAGAGAGGGGGGGAAAAGAAAGGAATAAAAATGCTCAAACCCCAATTCTGTCATTTAAAATGCTGTTTTTGATCTTGGAGACCTATGCATGAAATAATTGCAATTATCCAATATAACAGGATAGATAGTTCTAAGGAAAGGATGGGCAAGTGGGAACCTCAGTCTTAATTGCATGCACTACAAGATAGATACTTAACTATTATTATATCTCTATTACTCTTTGTCCTTTTGAATTTACCAACAACAGCTGCAGAATACATAAAACTCATTGCTTGACACAAACAAAACCTTACAAAATCATCTATATCACCCTACTTCCCCGAGCCACTGTGTCGGTGCCATAGTCTCCCAAATTTTATCCAAGTTCTAGAAATTAATATGCTTACCAAAAATGTCCACCCAAGTAGCAACACTGGGAATACACGGAACATGTTAAAAACCCGGGTCCATAACATGATGCAAAAATCACAATTGCAGATTTAAGTTCTTCTATTTTTTAGGAAACAACCAGAAAAAAACACTTGTCCTTCAACTAGGCATGAATAATTTTTCACTTACGAGTACAAGTTATAATTCAAAGGTGCAAAGCTACATCCCAACCACTTTACTATAACTGTCACAACAACCAAGAAGCCAAATACTCAAAAAGGGAGCATTTAATAAGAACTGTAGAAATAAAACCACAGGCTGAACTGAAAATTCGTAACATAAAACCTTCTTTAAAAAAATTAAAAATAAATAACAGAAAACTTACATGGAATTGGAAGTTGTTATTGGAGGAACGAAACTCGGCATCTCGGTTAGTGAATTATTATCATTTTGAGCACTAACTTTCACTGTTCTAGTACCCATGAATCAACATCATCGCCGCCGCCTCCACGTCCACCAGCAACGCCACCAAATTTATTCAACCAAGCAGACCCTTTTCAAAACCAACAGAATCCCACTACACAAATGGAACCGCTCCACAAAATAAAAGCCAAAAAAGTATTACAAGATCACCGCCTATTCGGCTATTCCTAACAATTGCAGAGACCTTGAAATTCCTTACAGAGCAAAAACACCTTAAAACTAACAAAATTAACCTTAAAACTCAAGTACTATGAACTAACAAAGCCACCTTCAAGCTTGTCCGCAACCGAAGGTAGTGAAAGCAAATAAGAAAAAAATTAAAGAAACTTAAAGCACCTAATCCACCAACAAAAATTTCTATGCAGGACTCTGGTCTTAAGCTAATACAAACGCACAACACCAACCCAGTAAAGTAAAAACTGAAACAAAAGTGTTTCTAACACTAATCTAAGACTAGTTGAGCAAATCCCAAAGCTGATATGAACAGAAAACCAGAGTCAGAGAAAACCCTAACCAGAAGAGGCTGATTGAAGATAAATACTGGGAAATTTTGACTTTTTGGTTTTATATATATATTTTATATGCACAGAGAAATTACTTACTAGTATTTACTTTGTGAAAATGGATTCTCTCTGTGCCGCTCTCTACTGCGAGTACTGTAACTTTTTTTTTTTTTTTTACCCACGTAGGAGGTCCAATGGCAGCGAGAAAACATAGGCTGCACAGTACGAGCAGCTCTAGTACTGGTTTGCGAAATGATCTGTCTTTTAAAAAAATAACTAATTTTTCTCCATATTTTGCTTTCATTTTATTACTGCATCGTTTTCTGCAATTTTTATATATTTTCCATTAAGTTAATAAAAAAATATTAAAATATTATATCATGAAAATTATAATTCAGTCCCTGTAGTTTGAAAGATATAATTAATTCATCCCTATACACAATCAGTCTGTTTTTATATTTTTAAAAATAGAATAAATATTTTCATCATTTCATAAAATACTCAATAAAAAATATGTAAAAATTGAATGTAATTATAAAGAAATTTTAATTTATATCACAAGACGGACTAATTATGTCTTGCAAATTATAATGGTCGTATTGTGGACATAGGGAAGTGAATTTTCTATTTGATCATTTCATAAGGTATTGTGGATATAAGGACGTAGTAATAAAATTTCCTTTTTATTATCTATTTGGTGATTATTAAATTATAAATAACAAGAACTTGAAAAGGAAAATTACAAAGAGAGTCCAAGTCAAACCATGTTAAGGGTTAGGTAAGGTCCTCAAATCTCCAGTGTAATAAAATGCCTAGGGCAGAGCATGGAATATGAATAATTGGAGATTATAAAATGGCTTTTGAAGAAACGTCACACGAAGTTTCTCATCTCCTTTTTAAAAGTTATATTTCAACAATAGTCCAAAAATTAAGTAATGCCTCAATTATTATAGATTATTAAAAAAAAAAAAAAGAATTTCAAACTTCTAAAACAAAAGCTCGTCAAAACATAACCCAATGATAAATGCGGCGTAGCAATAGATCTATCTACGTCAAAATTTTCTTTTCAATATTAAATAAAATAATAATTTAATGCAAAGCTGAGGTGGTAAATAATTAAAAATTAGTTTTTACCTCTAAATTGAGAGTAAATTGAACATTATTGGAATAATTACTGATGTAATGGAAAATATACCTCATTTTGTTAAACAATTTCAAAAAAATATATACTTTTTCTACACTTTTGTTCTTTACAAATTGATAAGATACAACGAATATTCTTATTTTCTAAATTTTCTATTTCCTACGCCGCCAGCTTGGAAGATAGTGGAGAGTCATAGTCTTTGACTCTTTTCCTCCCGAAAGAACGCACTTTTGTCTAAAACAAAACAAAATTCAAATTTGGTTTATTAACATTCTAGAACTCTCCACTCTCCACTTATTGTTTTAGAGAAACTTTTCTTTAAAAAAAACAAAAAACCTTATATTATTTTTTTAATTTTATTTTAATGATTTTTTTTTTTCTGTTAGTTCCCTTTATATTTATCAATATATTATTTTTTAGTAAAAAACAAATAGTTGATTTGTATTTATATTGTATTTGAAAACTATTGTGGTCGGAAATAATCCTAATTCTAGATTTTTTATTCATCTTATAAATTAAAAGACCGACTAAATTACATCTCCACTATGTTTATATTATATTTAGTTTTTATTGACTTCAGAAAAATAATTACTAACAAAATTATTATTTTTCAAATTAATATTTCTATTTGACTGAGCTTCACAGTTATATAGCGTCTTGGGCTGGGCTTCACAGTCAGCCAGCTTAAAACTTATATATTTATATGTGGTTTCACAAGCGTAAAATTATAATTTTACTTGGATAATCAAGAGTAAATATATTACTTTTTATGACAGTGTGTGATATTTTTATTCATTTTTTTATTTTTAAGAATAAAAAATTGAGCTCTATGTTATTTTGACAGTGATAAATTATACAAAAAGTTGATTTTCGTAAATTATATATTGCTCTTAAATTTAGGAGACAAATCGAACCTATTACTAAATAAAATAATAATAGAATTATATATATAGGGAATATAATGAAAAAGATAATCTTAGCGGATCAAACCCTATAAAAAAAAAAAAAAGAAAAGAGAGGAATATATAATTAAAGCACAACACAATTGTATAAGCTAGTATTTGTGTTTAATAAAATTTATTTTTCTTTAAAAAAATGTTTCTAAAAATTAAAAAACATTAAAAAATATATTTTGTTTATTTAAAAAAAAAAACTCAAACAAAAATAAACTGCACCTAAATCTTTTTAAAAAATAAACCTGATTCTTTTAGATTCTATTTTCTCAATTAGGTCCACTTGATCAAAATTGGGCTTGGGCAGCTGGGGTATATGGATTTTCCTAAATTGATCAACCATCTATAGGCCCAATAGTAGTCATCGAACATTCCATTTTGTGTTGGAAATTGAATATTTTATATTGAGAATATATGAGAGTAATTAATAAAATTTTTTCAAATTTATCTTTATTTATGTTAAATATAATAATTATTTCCATAATTTTTTTAAAAAATAATTTAATTTAACTATTCAACATTTAATTACAATTAGAAAAAATGATTATTTTCTAACCACCGTGAAACAATTTTAAATAACTTATATTTATAAATGAAAATATTACTTTTAGCTTCTTTGGTAACTAGATTTATTCTGTTCAAATAGATAAATGAAATTTGAAAATCATTTTGATTGTGATATTTTTATGGAAAATAGACAAATTGTTGTGATGAAAGGACATGGGTTAGGATTACCGGTTCCAGAGAATTACATATTTGGATGGACTTAATTAAAGGCTAATGAAAGAGACTCTAATAAGATGACAGAAGGAATGAGCAGGGAGACAAGAATTGTAAAACAGGACCATTTTAGAAAAATTATAAATTAAATTTCTAATTAGGCTGTTGCTTTTTTCTAATTTTAGCCGGTTATATAAAATTTAATAAATTTGGTTAAAATTAATAAATTCGATCGAAATTAAAAATTCTGTCGAGGGTAAGAGTGACTAAAAGTCCATTTTATTTAATTATTTATGATAGCGAATTGTTCATATATAATTTACGAATTGTTAATGTTTTTTCAACTTCCTAAAGGAGATGAGAAAATAGCTATATTGGAAACAAAAACATGAAACCAAACACCTACTAAATTTATATATATATATATATATTAAAATTGATAATTTGTGAAAATGGTATTATTAAATTCTGAAACTAGGAGGCGTACCCCTTTTCTCTCTAGTGGCAGAAAATTTTTTTCCTTATAAATCTGATGCGGTACCAACATGATTCTTAATCCAAAATATTGGGGACATTTGTGGTATTAAAAAAAATTTATAGATCGGACGATTTGAAGTTAGTGCGTAGGGTAGGCACGAAATTACTGAATAATAAACACCAAAAAATGATATTCCAAGGAAAAGACAATACGGTTCCACGTCATATCACAATCAAATAAGGTCAGACTTTTATATAATATTGTTACTATTAGTGTTGCCCACTGACAGTTGTTTGTGTAGTCGGAAGGAACGAACTTCCTAATCCTATTACTGTTACTGACATGTGACACATGGAACTTGTCATTTCAATTTGGTACTGACACGATTTAATTTAATTATTTAATGAATTAATATATTAATTTATTTGATTTGATTTGAAGTTATTTTAAATTAATATTTTTAATTTAATTTGATTTAATTATTTAATGTGTTAATGAATTTTAAGTAATTATTATTTATTATTATTTTTTAAAAAATGATAAAGTTTAATAATAACAAATTATTCAATTAATGTAACAATGTATTGCTTTTTAATAAATATTTACTCTCAAATTTATAAAATAATAAACTTTTTCTTGAACAACTATTAATGTATTTTCAATGTTTTCCATCTATACATTTCCATTTATTATTATTTTTCAAATAATATAGTAATGCACTTTTTTTAAAAAAAATTTAAATTATTTACCCTCAATAAACACTTTAACTTTTTTAGTACTATATATAAGTTGTATCATTATATTTTTTTGTATTTTTGACAAAAGTATATTGATTCCTGCTTTTAAATATATTATTTTTTTTAAGTTCAAAATTTTCTACATTTCAACTATTTCCATTAATGGGGTTAGTAGTTCTTACTTAAACTTTTTTCCCTCCTTTTTTAAAGGTTATTTAACATGTTTTTGTAGCCGTAAATAGGCTTGGCCACGGTTCCAGAACCGGCGGTTCCGGTTCCGGTTTGGAACCGTACGGTTACGGTTCCAGTTCCGGTTCCGATCCGATTATAAAACCGACGGTTCCGATCGGTTTTCCGGCTAATCGCATAATTTTAAATTTTAAATTTTGAAGACCGGTTAAAAAAAAATTATTTGACATAAAAAATTAAAAAAAACTAAAAATATTAATAATATTAATTAATTTTTTTATTAATAATATTAAAATAAATTATTTCAAATATAAAAATCATTTTCAACACAATAGATTAATATTGCTACATAAACATCTTAATACTTTAAAATGATTCGACATAAATTTTTAGGACTCAAAATATATTTATATAGATACACGGTTTTTTAAAATTTATATTTATGAAAATCTTTTCATGCATTTGTGTGGTAATTACTAATTAGCACTTTTTTTTTAATTTTTAACTTTTAAGAGTATTTTTTATAATTTTTTCAAATTAATTATTCAAATAATACTTTTTAGTAGACCAAATAGAAATTAAGAATTTCTTCCATTATAAAGAATATTAAAAAATAAAGTATTCAGAGGATTTATTGGTCGTCTTCCAAATATTATATTATAAAATAATAACAGTACAAGTGACTGAAAGGATAATATTATCTCGTACAAGTACAACAAGAAAAGAACCACAATAATTCCTTCGAATATTAGTTAATTTGAGGAGCGTAAAAAAGACGCGATTTGCAGCGCGGCTGGGAAAAGTATCTCCCAAATCCATTATTTCTCGTTTCTTGTATTACCGTAATCAAAACGTTCACTTTTGTAGGCTTCCCCATTTTTCTGATGTCCATCTCACCTTTTTCTTTCTCATAAAACCTCTTTGCAGCCTCAGAACAGTACCATCTCTCTCTCTTTCTTCAACTTGCTTTCGATCATTATCATTATTTATGCAAGTTGTTTGTTGCTTCTCTTCTCAGCTTAAAAAAGCTTATCCATGGATAGTCTAATGGTTGCTACTACTGCAACTGTGCAAGAAAACAAGAAAAGAGCTCCCAAAAGAATCAAGAAAGTCAAGAAACAGCCTATGAAAGTTGTTTACATAACTAACCCTATCAAGTTCAAAACCAGTGCTTCTCAATTTAGGGCTTTGGTGCAAGAACTCACTGGCCAAGATTCTGAACTGCCTGCAGACCCAACTAGCTGGTTTCTTGATCGTTATCATCATGATGGTGATAATCTAACGGACCCAGATGCATCAAGAAACAATGATGATGATGATCGTGCACTGGTGGAGGTGGTCCCCACTTTGGATTTTAAAGACCACGAGCAACTTGAAAGAGTAGTACTAGATCCTGATGCTCCTCCACTGGAGTTGTTTGATGATATTTTCATTCCCCAAATATTGGAGAGTTGCTCCTCTTCTGGGTTAATGACATCAAGTTTATTCTATGAATCTTCTGCTGCTGCTTCTGCTACTACAACAACAACTCATGTGGATTTGCTAAGAACCCTAAATTGAGTAAGCACTTTCTCTCTGGATATGTAATTAATTAATTAACTAATTATAATATGATGTTTGGTAATTTCCTTATGTAATTACTAATTAACAATAATTAAACTTTTCCCTGTGCAATCTGATCTTGGATTCTATCTTTCAATTCATGATTTGTTCATCATTTGAAAACAATACCTTTATAATTAAAAGATCTTTCCTATGTCAAGTGAAATTGAAGCAAAAGACACAAAGAAGTATAAGCTCTCTATCCAAACTAAAGTGGTTAGGTTAGCTAAGCCATATAAGAGTATAATCCTACCTTGCAACCAAACACTAGCTGTGTATTAATTAAATTTTAGCATGAGCAAAAATGAGCCTGGAGATCCAAAGCAAAATTAGTGGCTCACGTTGATTTTTAAAGGTAGATTTTATGCATGTGAAGATATTGAATATGGGAATACATGACAAATATAGATATACAAGTAAAATAGTACGTACGTTTCACTTATTACTATTATTAGGCAGTCATTTATTATAATAATAAATAAAGAAATATTTGTTATGCATTTTCTTATATATATATATATATATATATACACATCAATACATGTAGGGGAAGGAGTGTCCTTTCACTTTCTCAACCTTTAGTTCCATTAAACAGAGACGAGGAAGAATAAATGTAGCAGTTTAATGTCTATTCTAAATAGATGCTTTCTTAATAATCAATTATTAGATTAATTCATGAATATTCTTTGTAATTTATATATTAATATTTCTTATCAACGATACAGTGATTGAGGTGGTAAACAACTTTAATTTTCGTAAGGATGAGCATAAAATTTCAATCTTCAGGAAGTACATTTTGTTGGAGGGTCAAAAACCTTTACTCTCTATGGTTCGAGAGGGAATTATGCATTCTAATTATATAAAAAAAATATTATTGGTTACTATGGGTTGAAATCTAATCACTTAAGTGAACAATAAATATTAAAAAATTTGTGACAGACGAAAAAGTATAAAATAGTTAATACAAGAAATTGCAAAAATGCAATTTTGCCATTTTTGGAAGGGACAATATAATTTTTTTCTTCTTTTGATATTTCTCAGGGGTGCGGTGACCCCTCAGGGTTGAGAGTTGGAAGAACTCCAGGGTTAAGCGCCTTTTGGTGGAATGGCTGGAGAGTTGGAAGAACTCCAGGGTTAAGCGTGCTCGCTTAACAGAAATCCTAAGATGGATGACCTCCTGGTAGGTTTCTCATTTCACCTACGAGACAAAACCGTGCAGGTCTTGCCAATCTTATATGGGGGATTTGGCTTGATCCAAAGCGGACAATTCCTCTAGTGATTAGAGTTGACAGAAATCCTAAGATGGGTGACCTCCTGGAAAGTTTCTCATTTCACCTACGAGATAAAACCGTGCGGGTCTTGCCAATCTTATATGGGGATTTGACTTGATCCAAAGCGGACAATTCCTCTAGTGATTAGAGTCGGGCGTGACACATTATGCGATTGTTCATCTAACCCCAGAGTTTCAAATAGGAGAAGATGTTGATCAAATGTCTAGGGGCTCATTTCCACAACTCTATTCATGTTAATGGCGTCTAGGAACTGAAAGAGAAATAGGTCCTTTGAAACCTCCCTAATGTTGATGCCATGACCAGTTTCCAAAGGGAAGCCAGGGTTTGTTTCATTGCAAGAAAGTTCATGTTTCTATCAGTTGGGAACCTTCCTACCAGTGTGTAGTCAGGTTTAGATTGTTCGTTGTCCACACCATTCTCATCCACTTCCAAACCTCCCTCTTCCTCCTCTCTGATTGAAAGTCGAACCAGCCTCTGATGAATATCAGAGGATCGAGATGTACTAGAAGCTATGATAAAACAATGCAAAACTCGACACTCAGGCGAGACTATCCAACTCGCAAGCTAGGGAGACCCTCGTTTGCATCTTTGCATTTTTTTTTATTTTCTAGAAAATGTTAATTTCAATTATTTGTTATAAAAGGTAAGGATTATTGACATATGATAGAAGGAAAACTGTTAAGAAAAAACACATCGCTAATCACAAAAACTTTCTTGAAAACACTTTACTAATCAATTTCTTAGAGTTATTGCGAAGAGGATAAAAAACAATTTCTTTAACGAGGGACCATTACTAATAAAAAAAACAAAAAGAAAAAGCAAGTTGGCTGAAAAATATGATAAAGAAAAAAACTTTCTTGAAAATACTTTGTTAATTATTAGATAAATGGATCATAATGGCCTAATAAATCTTTCAAATAGGTAATTAAAAATTATGAAGTACTTAAATTAAAGAATATGAGGCACTAATTGCTGAAGATGAGAATTATCAAGCAAAACTTGTTTTTATTATAATCAAAGAAGATGCAGATTACAGAATAACATAACATAATAAAAGAATAATATACGATAAAAACAATTATAACGAAATTTCAATGAAGAAAATCCTCATGCAGAATTATTTCACTTGATCTGAACCCATTTGGTAATGCTAGGTACTCCCTGGAAAACAACCGAGAGCATATAATACCCCACGGGAGCAACTTTATTAGAAATTGGTGAAATGGCTCCGACTTTGAAGTTTCCATTGGCAGGAACGACCTCTCTCAATCCCAACTGGATAAGTCTTTGATTCATGTTAATTCCATGAGTAGTAAAAGCAGGAGAATACATAGTAACTTTCACATCTCCCTGTTCCACTTTGCCACCAGCTATCTTGACTTCAATATCAATATTCTGAGCATAAGTCATTTTCTCATTGAAGGTCACAATCTCTGGTCTCTTCTGTATAACGGCGGCGTTTAAGTAAGGTGGTGAGTATTTCTCCACACGCAACTCAGTAGGGTACATAGCATCGTAAATATATCCATTGTTTGTGTTGCTACCGGCGATAAGGACTTTTCCGTCAGGTAAAACAGTGGAGGTTGAATGGTACATTCTGGGTATGGTGGATGGTGCTAGTGCAGTAAATCTTGTTCCTCTTTTAGCTCTTGGGCTATACAAAACTGGAGTGAAATTAGGTTCGCGAGCAAAACCCCAACCAGAAGCTCCTCTTTTAGCACCATTTACGATAAGGACTTCACCAGTTGGAAGAATCATCATATCGCCCATAATACGAGGAGTTGGCATAAGCTCTCTCTTCCAAACAGGATTTTTAGCTGTGATTCTCATTCTTCCACAATCTTCAAGCGCTTCGTAGAAGATTTGTTTTTCGGCTTTGGAATATGAATCTTTATGTGCAGAGCCACCGCAAATCAAGACTTCAGCTGGAAGAGTCTCTTTGGGATCCTGGGAATGGATTTTGATTGGGAGGAGCACGGAGGCTCCACTAGCGGGATAGCTACGGGAACCACCAAGAAGTTCTGGGAATTCTTTGACAATTTGGTTGGTAGTAGGGCGGACAATCTGGTTGGTAGTAGGGCTGAGCAACACGGAACGACTGTTGGCAAAGATGAAGACATTGCCATCAGTGGATAAATAGACAAATGGGTACAAATTGTTTTCTTCTGGATCACTGGTTTGGCGGAGGAATTCGAAGGCGAAAGGTTTAGGATTGGATTGTCCTTCCTTGGGAATGTACTCGTAGCTAAAAGCATCACGACCACCTACGACGATAAATGCGCCATCTGGCAATGTTGCCTGTGTTGAGTACCTGAAAAACGAGACATTACAAAAATTAAGCATAGTTTTGTTAATCTAGTACATAAATCTTTTATCGTTCTTTTGGCCCCAAAATATTAGAGTTGTATTCACATACCATCTACGATCCGCAAGAGCAGTTGGGTACTCTCTCCAGTCGCTGCCTTCAGCAGTGCCAAGGTACCTGACAGTATTTGCACCCCCTTGAAATCCTCCGGTGCTTACCAAGGTACCTTCAATGTCAAGACCTCCTGATGAGCACCAGGTATCGGTATTGAGCTGCAACCAAGAAATAATAGAATTAAAAAAATAGGCAATTAATAAAATTTATTGAAATGAAACACCAAATTAATTAATTAATACCTCGAGAGGGGTAAGTTTTGAATCGTTAATGTCGAATAAAACAGAATGGCACCAGCAATCTTTCTCA